AGAGAGAGAGAGAGAGAGAGAGCACGTGAGTAGGGAAGAGACAGAGAGAGAGAGGGAGAGAGAAAATCCCAAGTGGTCTCCATGCTCAGTGCAGAGCCCAAGATCGGGTTCAGTCTCATAGCTGTGAGATCACGACCTGAGCGGAAAACAAGAATTAGACATTTAACCAACTGAGTCCCCCAGGTGCCCCATCCCATGATATGTTCAATGCTGGTCTAGTAGTCCACGCCTGGATGCACCCAGCCAGATACTTTAACTACAATCGGGATAAGCACATTTACTCATAATTTTGGCTCAAGGCATAAGTAAATATGATTAGTTCTGCGCTTGGCTCTATGACCCCCAAAGTCCCATGACACCAGCATTTCACTGGCAGCTGTGTTCTCTTTCGTGTGTGTGTATCTGAGGAGAGAGACCTTTTTCTTCCCTCCTGTGACCGGATGGGATTTTTCTCTCTCTCTGCTCACTTGTTGTCTATTGTTTTCCATGAATCCCCATGTCTGTGTGTTAGCATTTCTGACTGGCTGGGGGGTAGTGGGGTGGGGAGCACTTTGGGAAACACAAACCTCTGACCGACAGGGTCTAACAAGCAGCACTCACCCTTCTAGAGCTGGACCAGGACTGTAGGCCTGTGGTGTGGGTGGGGAGCCTTAACCGCTCCTCCTCCTCCTCTCTGCTACCATTTAAAACCATCTGGAGGCAGGGAGGAAATTCGTTCAGCCCTTCAACTTGTGTGACCACACACATTCTTTTAAGAGATATTTACTAGCTTCGCAGGAAAACAAAATTCGCCATAAAAAATTTTTGAAGAAAATATTCTCCATTTTCTCCGCTTTCCCCTTGTATGACTCTCCACACGAGAGGTATTTGTAGCCTCTCTTCAAGCGTGCTTCAGATTTTCACTTCGGCTTTGGTTTTCCCTCACAACTTCCTCTTGCTACTGTGAAATGTGGTTGGCTCAAGTGACTTTTCCTTTCTTTCCCATCTTTGCAAGATAATCCACGGGCCGTGTCTCCGGAGGCGAAGTAAGAAGACCTTCACAGCGTTATTCTCCTGACCCTACTCAGTCCCACCCTGGAAGAGGGGGTCTGCCTCTGGACAAGCGGGAAGGCCCAGGCTCCTGACAGGACCACTAAGGACTGTACATAAACTGGGCAGAAAAGCACAGGACCTTTTCTTTTTCAGAATTATACCCTGTTTCTTCTTCTTATTTTTTCTCTGTGTCAGTGACCCAAGAATAAAACTAAGGAGAAAGGGAAAATGTGATTGGTCAGGCCTAGGGAAGGTGAGGAAAGGCAGGCTAGAGCCACAGATAATAAAGAATAACTAAACATCACGGGGGCAGCTGGGTGGTTCAGTCGGTTAAGCATCTGACTTCGGCTCAGGTCATGATCTCATAGTTCGTGAGTTCGAGCCTTGCATCAGGCTTGTTGTGTCAGCACAGAGCCCGCTTTGGATCCTCTGTCACCCTCTCTCTCTGCCCCTCTCCCACTCGTGTGCTCTCTCTCTCTCTCTCTCAAAATAAATAAACTTAAAAAAAAGAACACAGTTGATAGCTTCACAGTTTAAAGATCAATTCCATATCCATTATCTCATTAGCTCCTCACAATAGTCCGAAGAGGACTACACCACAGACATTACCATTATCTCCACAACTATAGACTTAGAATTGCAGGTCTCTAATGGATGCTATTGTGTCCTACCCAGATGTTACCTCAGGACAGAGAAACTCATCCCCCTAGCTGTAGGAGTGTCCACTGCTGAGTTCCCCCCCCCCCCCCCCACTGGGAACTGCTCTCCATTGAAGAGCTCTGCCTCAACCAACGTTTCACTCCTTCTCTGGGCCCTTGCTTTGATTCCAGACATGTGGAAAGGGCCATCCCAGCTCCTGTACACCCTGTAGGATCAGCTGAAATGCTGTAGCAACTGCATCAGAGTTCAACAAATAGGGTTTTTACTCTATGTGCCTCTTTGAAAACCACAATTTTTTTCTCAGTATCTCATATCTTGGCTCTCCATCCATATCATCCCTACGAGTGTAGACATATAGTCTTCAACAGCTGCAAAACATCCCATGGATATCTCATAATTCACTTATCCCATTCCTTATTGTTGAATATTTAGGTACTTTCCAACTATTTTCTATCAATTATACTTTGTTGAACATCTTTGTATATACATCTTCATAAATTTGTCCAACTATCTTTAGGATGAATTCCTAGAGGCTGATTGATGGGTCAAAAGATACTGCTCTCCGTAAGAGTGCTAACAATTTCTATTCCCACCACAAGTACTGGGAAAATCCCCAAATCTGTCTGTCTCCATTCAGATTCGTGACGATAAAACTCAAATGGACCCTCAGCACTGCAATCCTACCACACATTCCTCCATAGTTTGCTTTCCTACTTTTCAAGATAGTCCTTTAAATTGGTTTCATTTCTTCTTAACCCTACTGCATCCCTTCCCCTCCCACATGCCCAGCTGATATCCTGGTTTCATACCTGTCCCCCCCGCAAAAAAAATTGAAGGCATAGAGGGCAACACTCTTACCTGTCCACCCTCAAATCAATACACCCCCAACCCTGCCACATGCACTATGTACCAGAACCCCATTGTCTCTGCCTTCCTCTTTCACTGTAGCAGTGTCCACGTGGCTAGCCATGGTTAACACCTCACTTGAACCACATTTGTCCAACTGCTCAAGGACTTCTGTCCTGCGATATCCCCTTTCCTTCTTACATCATCATCACCATCCACCATCATCATCATCATCATCATCCTCATCATCTCTGTCTTCTCTCTCCTGGATGATTGCCAGTGGCATAAAATGAACTCTCTCATCCCCCATCTCAAAATACAGACAAATCAAAAATAACAAAATAAGACAAAACTCCTTTCATGGTCCCTCTAGCCTTCACCCCATTTCTCTTCGGTTCCCTTCCCAGCAAAACCTCTGGAACAAGTTGTCTACACTCTTTGCCACAAATTCCTCACTGTCCATCCACTCTCCACACTCTCCCAGTGAGCCCTGCCACTCACCCCACCTGTTCTTATCCAACTGATTCCTTTTATGTTGCCACATCTAAGGGACACATTTTGGTCCTTGTCTTGACTGATTCCCAGTGGCAGAGGCAGTGTCTAGAGCGAACCACTCTACTGAAAAACCCAACCACCCCAACTTCTAGGATAATACACTCCGCTGGTTCCTCTTCTGACTTACACATTTCTCCTGCTTAGATTAGAGGCATCTCCCCCTCCACATGAACTCTGAAGATTGGAGCACCTCAGGGCTCAGTCCTTGGCCCTGGAGACCCTTCCTCTTGTATCCCCACCCCCTTCTCTGTCTCAATAATCATCATATAAAATCAATACCAAAAATTGACAAAGACAGCTAAAAAAGAAATAAATACAGATCAATGGCATATCATATATTCACTCATTCAATACACATTTATTGAACACCTACTTTGTGCTGAGCATTGAGGGAAGACTATGGTGAAAGAGATAGGAAGTCTCTGTTCCAAAGTTACATACCATAACGTGCAAAATCTCACACTCAAAGCAGAAGTGATCCTTAAATGGTATAATTGCATGTGAAGGCTTTTTTTTTTTTTTTTTTAATATTTGGTTTTATTAAAGGTTTTGGGGTTTTTTTTTTTGTCCTTGTTTTTTTTTTTTTTTTCTTTTAAGGAAAAGGGAAAGCCAGGTTTGTACCTCTGAAAAAAATGTTGGCATAGTTTTTAAACAAACACTCTAAAGATTCTCTAATCTTCTTAGAGTCAGAAGTGAACTATTTCCTTACTTAACTACAATTAGAAATGGCTTATTTTCTCAATTTTAAATGAGTTTCTGAAACATATCACATGACACCAAGGATGAGTGGAAATTAGAAGCTGTTGCTGCTCTTTCTAGGTCATGAATCATAGCTTTTTCTCTACAATTTGCTGCAACTAATGTCTGAAATCTAAGGCCCCCATCCTGAATTAAATTATAATTCAGAGTTAAGAGGACATTACCCAAATCAGCACTGTAGGGGTTTATTTACATCATGCAAGTAGTGATAAATTGGGAAATCCTTGTGTATTTAAGATCTTCCTCTCTGAACATTCGGATATCCCATAACACTGCCTTTAGGATAAAAATAAGGTGGGGCAGGGGTTGGCCTGGATTTGTTTTCAGACATCTTAACCAACATTTGGACCAAATACATAGAAAGCATAATACATTTATATATGTATCAATTATTATATTCCCTAAATAGCCATAGTGATGAAAGTCTCTGCAGTACACACACTTAGTCTACTAGCTTTCTGGCTTTATCTTTCCATCCTCTTCAGACTTTGTGGGGTCCACTGTGTGGATATCTTGACTCACGAATTTTTTAGACTAATTATCCCAGCAGATTTAAGCCTGTTGGACACTGGGGCACTGGTTGGTGCTGTTGTGACTGTTAATGGGCATATACTGGGTAAGATTTTTCCTTTCGTCTTGTTTTATGTCCCAAGAGTTTGGCTAGGGGGTCAAGGGTCAAGGAGAGGGTACCCCAAGATGGGCCACTTTGGCATTAAGACTGTTTTGAGCTGAAAGTAATCAAGATCCTGTGAACTCCAAAGAAACGTTTTGCCCTTCCCTTAACTACATGGAAGAATCTAAATTAGAGGAGGTCTTTCCCAGAATAATGGTTATTACCGGAGTTAAAGTTTATTTGAGTGACCCATCTGTATACCAGGGCAAAAATCTAACTACCAAACATCTGCTTTTTTTCTTACTGCCCTGTCAATGGCATTTTTTCCCTTTGAAGTCCCAGATCCCTATTCCATTCCCCCAAGTTCAGGATGACATATATACCTCCTTTTGCCTGTTTTTGGAATTTCTGTGACTATGTGGATTCCCCATTTGTACACTATTAAATTTGATTTTCTCCCTTGAATCTGTCTCATGTCGCTTTGATTCTTAGTCCAGCTAGAAGGGCCTTTGAGGGGACAGAAATTCTGGCTCCTTGACAGTTGGCATAGTCAAAAGGATGTTTTAAGTCACTGGACACCAGTCGCTCTGACGCTGCTGGAGCTGAAATCTCCTGGGACATCTGACACACAGCTGGCAAAAGGTAAGCTTTCTTACCACGTCAGCCTGCCGGAATCTCTGTCTGCGGAGTCTGATGAAGTGAGAATGACAAGATGAGAGTCCTTTTTCTCTCTTTGTAAATTTAGATTAACAGGAGAAAATGTTTGCAAAACTAGTTCCTTGGGCTAAGTGACTCTTTGGTTAAAGTTGATAGAATACTCTTTGGTTGCTGATCCATTCCCTCCCAGACACGGTCTTTGTTTTCCTGTCCCTGTGTCTTTTACATTATTTGTCATACAAACTTTGCTGTGAGACATCTCAGCCAAAGCCACAAAGCCACAAAATAGCGGGCAGGGGTCGAGCACGGAAACACTGTTAGAGCAATCACCACCTGAAGAAGACTCCTGTGTTAGGATGAGTTGACCCTGGAACAGGTTAGATTAACAAACATTTGGACTAAATACGTAGAAAAAATAATATGCTTGTATATGTATAAATTATTTTATTCCCTAAATAGCCACAGTGCTGAACCTCAAGGAAACTTCCATGCAGTGAGGTACACTGTGAAATGTCACAAAACCCCCAACCCTGTGGCACATCCCTCCTAAGTAAGTATTAGTTTGGCTCCAGGGCTCAGAAAAAACTGTTAATGGGCACATACTGGATAAGACTTTTCCTTTCGTCTTGTTTTATGTCCCAAGAGTTTGGCTTTGTGGCCAGTGAGAACATTCTCTTTGGTCTTCGCCATCCAGAGAATGGTGGAGGGGCACCTTGGCGGCCTGTCAAATAGACTAGGGATCTAAGTCTCTCTCTCTCTCTTTGTCCAGCCATTCCAGCTCTCAGGGTACTTTGTCATGAGCAGCCCCAGCCTGTAGGAACCTTTGTCACCTCACCCTTCATGGCTTGTTCTTGCTGGAAAGCCCAATTCCAGTAGCGCCTGGAATCATCAGTGTCACAGATGAGCAGGTCGATGGCTGGAGGCATCCCACGACTTTGTGGGAGACTGGAGACACTGTTATTACTACACCATCCTTCCCGCCTACACAACGAAAGCTTTTGCCTTCCTAGACTAATTGCAGGAGTAAACTTTTTGAATCATGGGGGCTGCACCATCTATGCCCTCAGCGGACACTTCCTGCATCTTCGGTGAAGCCATTAGAAGGCTTATTGGTTTGAGTAACTTTTAATAGATCCTACTCATCAATGGCCAGACAATGGATCCTTTAAATTGGCTAGATTTAAATTATATATATACCTATGTGTGTGTGTGTGTGTGTGTGTGTGTGTGTGTGTGTATAAAATGAAGGTCTCTCAATTGTCTTATTAGTACAATAACTAGTCTGAAGGACTCCTTTGACAAAATAAAAAAGTAGAAATTAGAATAAGACTTAAAAATAAATGTCCATATCCAACATATATTTCTCTTCTTAAAATCCAGGTTGATCTGCCTATTTTAATTTCCCTTTCCCTATAAGATCTACAGAGAACACTCCGCCCTCACCTCTAGGTTCTAAAAACACAGGTTGCTCATGTAAATGTTGAAAGCTAGAAAAACAAATTTAGCAAAAGCCCGTGAGACTGGCAGTGAGGCTCCCTACCTTCCAGGACTCTGGAGTCAGGCTCTACCTGCTTTGGGCATTCCTATACAATGTCCTTTGCTGTTGTATCTGAGAGGGCCTACTGCAAAAGAATTCATGTCCCCTGAACAGCGGGGGATTTTTTAAACTGTAAAGCCCTTTCCCTCTACTTTCCAAAGACACAACCAAATTTAGAAGGAAATCACAAAGACTATTTGACTATGTTCACAACCTTCTGTTCACAGAGGAAACAGAGGACCAAAATTTCTCACAAGCCCTTCTAGAAATAATCTGCAAAAAGTCACTAATCAAGGGCTAATAGAAGCCAGAAAAAAGGCCTTTGTTTTTTTTTTTTTTTTTTTTTTTAACGTTTATTTATTTTTTTGGGACAGAGAGAGACAGAGCATGAACGGGGGAGGGGCAGAGAGAGAGGGAGACACAGAATCAGAAACAGGGTCCAGGCAGGCTCTGAGCCATCAGCCCAGAGCCCGACGCGGGGCTCGAACTCACGGACCGTGAGATCGTGACCTGGCTGAAGTCGGACGCTTAACCGACTGCGCCACCCAGGCGCCCCAAAAGGCCTTTGTTAAAATGCTTTATACAGACTTTACAAAGGCATAAATCTTTTGGTTCCCACTTTGGTTAAAAATCTCGCTGATAAATTTAGTTTAAAAGGTGGGTCAGTCCTTTGATATTCAGGCTGTGATCTAGGTCTTTGGGGAATTAGGGACAACTGTTTTTATTTTACAAATCTCTACGAAACCAGAAATGAAATTTAGAAGCAAGTCAAAGTCCACCTATCTTTACCCATCTCCAAAACTCACTATTCCTCTCAGAATGTTTGTGAATATTATAAAAGACCACGATACCGAAACAAAATGGTCCTGTATTTTAAGGGGAAAAAATGTAATTTTTAAATAGAAATCACCCTGAAACTCAAGGGAAAAACATTTTTTTTTTTTACATTCTTTCTCTATCCCTTGAAATGATAAATCTTATCATACCTTTGAAATATACATACAGCCCACAGTCTCCTGAGATTGAAGGAAAAAAGGCAGGGTGGTGGCAGGGAAGAGGCCCTTTTAAAATCCAAACTGCTAAAAGGATCCTAATGTCCCAACTATCACATCTGAGAACAGGCAGATAGGTTCTAAATATCCACCTTGGAAAAAAATTTGGGTGTTTTCTCTGTGTCTTTGTGATGTAAACTCCCTCCCTCCTACCCCTTCTTCTCTAGAACCTAAGAGCCATTCCTTGAAATGCAAACTTCAAGAAGTTTCTCGTGGGAGGGAGGGGAGAAGTATTTAGAAATTGAGTCTATAATGTCGGCTACACAAATATTAGTAAAAAAAAAAAAAAAAAAAGCAAAAGCTGGGAAAGATTTTGTTTGTACCTTGTCTTTGTATTTTTGCATCCACATATGTTGTAAAGGTGAAATATTTTCTCTATCTCCGGGTGGTATTGCTAAAATTAATTTGTAAAAGAGGTGTATTTTAGCTGGTTTGAAGGCAACTACTTTTAAGGATTGGGCATTCTAAAACTCAGAAAGTTAGAAACTAACCTAAATGTTTTTCAGGTTCATATGATTTGGGAAAATATCTGAAAAGAAAGCAGGTTGAAGGTTGTTGGTTTAATTAAAATAGATCTTTAGAGTTATCAGCATTAAATAGAAAACTTGTATTCTGCGTGTGTTGACTAAAAGAGACGTTCAGGTTATCTCTCTCTTGCCAAATTTGTCAGGGGAAAAAAACAAAACAAAACAAAACCTTAGAATAATGGCTGACTTTGTCTAATGCTTCATGAAGTTTTGTGGGTAGTCTAGGCATAATCCTTAGGAACAAGTAAATTAAATAGATGTCAGTAAGATAAAAAAGTTTGTAGATAAACTTTTAAATAGCTTCCAAAATCTTTGGTAACCTAAAACTTTAAAATTTTGCTAGGTTGAACCGTAAGTTTAAATTCATCGATTATCTAGATCATCTCCAAATAAGATAACATAATGAACATTTTATACTGAATATAACTTATCTGCTTTTGTTTTATTACAGAAAAGCTAATAATGAATTTGGGTCTGTTAATAAGCATGCTTTATGCTTTATTGAAAGATAATACTATGGAAAAACACGTTTTTTAGAAATTATGAAATATATTCATACATTTGCCAATCTAAAGAATTATGGTACAGCAGACAATTTGCAACTTCTTATTATTTAGTTTTCACTAAAAATTAAGGTTTCTAAGCATGAAGAATTCTAATGAATGTAATTAAGATGACTGGAATTAAGGGAAACAACCCTGTATGCAAGGAAAGTGAGATATGTGTTTTTGGTAAGAAAAAGTCTGAGGAAAAAGAACACATCTTTGTTGAGGGAAAACAAAATAATTTTGTCCTAAAGTGAGACTTAGTTATTTAAAGCTGGAAAGCTTGGGGCAACAGCTGAATGCAAAAAAGAAAGTTGCAGAAGGTTTTTGGACAAAGAATCTTTGGAAAGAAATTTTACGTGTGGTCAGTCCTGGCTAAGATCAAGATAAATTAAGTAAGTAAATTTATTTTAATATCAAAAACACACTGAGGCAAAATTAAAATTTTGTTTTCTCTTTGTGAAAAGGACTAAATTTCCTTAAACTATTGGCCTCCTCTTAATGAGAAACTGTAAACAAAAGTTTTTCTTTAGCTTTTAAGTTATCTGCCTAAAAAACAATAATTCTCTTTTGCCAAAATAATTTCCTATGTTTATCAGGCCTTTGATTAGTTAAGAAAACTGAGTCTTTATTAAAAGAGCTATGTTTTGCTTACCACTGTGTAACCTTGCCTGTAAAATCTTATATTGTCATTTTGGCTATTTGTATCATTAGGTGTTCTTTCATAATGATTTGTGATCCTATTTAATCAATTTTTATATACTTCCCAAAATCAAATTCTAAAATCAAGTTTTTGACCACAGTCTAACTGAACAGGGGGCCCTTAGAACATTTCCAAAAAAGGTTTGCAAGAAATTAAACTAATTAGGCTTATATGGTGTGCTAAATTACATGGGTAGCATTGTCCAATCAGTGATATTAAAGCCTCTTAGATGATATTTATGCGGGTAAACTATGAAAATCAGTGTTCTTTTTATCATTATTATTAAATCTGTGTTCTAAAAAGTTTAGGACTTTTATGAAAGTCCTAAAAATCTGACATCCTGGCATGTTATTATCTTGACGTGTTGTGGGTCCCAAAGCTAACCAAATTTCCATGTCAACTGCATTGTAATGAGTCTAATCAGATCGTTAACTGTGCCATTTTTAAGTCTTCTATTATTTACTGGCAATTATACTTTTACTCAGGTGATTTTATAAAAGCTTCCTGCAAACATGCTTCATCTTCAGGGAGATTCATGGAAAGAACTCTGAGTACAGGTTCCTGATATGCTCAAGATCATCAAACTGAAGTAAAAAAAAAAAAATAAATAAAAATCCAGAACTAGTGAAAAAACTGAATTCAAGCAGAATAAGAATTAATAATAACATGGGAACTGCATAAACTAAGGAGGTTAATTATAATTTTTATGACTTTTTGTTTGAAACCTTGCTGAGTTTTTAAAAATACATTTTTTTTCTAGATTAAAGAAAACTTCTCTTAGGCTAACTAGTTGATAGCAATTTGATAAAATATACCTTTGTGAATAAATTGTAACATTTATCTTTTCTCCCTACCCGAACGCCCCAGAATTCAGAAATTCTCAGTGAGTATTCTTATATTTTTATGGTAATATATTTATTTGCCTAAGTTCAACAAGAACCTGTTCTCTTTATGACAGGACATGATTGGAAGCCTTAGTTATATTACAAAGGCTTTGGCTGGAATGTCATATTTGAGAGAGGTGTGCATAGACTCAGATATGAACAGACAGCTTTAAGGAACTAAGCCTGACTTTATGGAGCCAATAAAACCCCTTGGAAAATATCAGCGTGGTGCATTGCTCACAAAGGTCCCAGCAGCCTCACCAGGTGAATAAAGAAGGTCACTCCCTGGCAGGTGCAGGAAGCTCAGGATGTTCTGGGGACCTCGAGAAGAGAGGAATTCACCCAAGTCTGTAAGTATTGCAGATTAAGTCAGATGGCAAGTATTTGGCTTGACTTCTGGCCTTAAGAGGCTATTAAAAGTTCATTCTAGAGATTCCTTATGAAAAGTTCCAGCAAAGCAGAGTTTTAAAAGCCTATATGGTCAACCACTACTCTTGCTACACTTGTGTAAATAATCAGGCCACTTTTTTTTTTTTTTTTTTTGGAAACTAGACTTATTTTGCAAACAAACTAGTGTTAATCTGGCTACCGTTGGTAAAAATGAGGGTGATTATAGAGAAAATATGTTTCGATAACACACCTTTGTAAATAGTAAATTTTAACACTATTTATTATTAGCTGGCCTAAATCCTGATTTCTTCTAGTGTTCTCCAGTGCCAGGCTACAACTCTCCAAACTAATGTTTTTGAATGTTCTCCCACCTTTCTGACTTGGAATCATTTGAGAACTAAAACTTCCCTCTTCCTTGAAGCCCTGCAAACTTAATATAAAATGGCTTGGTGTAAACTTCAGAGAAATTGCCACGATGGCTCATGTCTAGACAATCTTCATACTTACTGCACTGTGGGCCACTCAACAGATTGCTAGAGACATGTGAGCTACAAACCAGGAGAATCTGTGGCATTGCCACGGCCTGCCTTCACTCTGTCTGAAGATGCTCGGAGCCTGACATCTAGAAGTCTTGTCAGCTGGCTGGCTCAGAACTCAGAGACAGGTTTATAATCTGATCTAATCATTAACCGCTGCTTTTCTTTTATTTCCGTAGAAAGGCCTCTTATCTAATACCTGATTACTTGAACCATAGGCCTAGCTTGGAGAAACGCCACCTTCTGAAACGAGTTCAACTAAGCTGACCTATTATCAAGACTCAGGGGAGTGGTTCGGTGAGACGAAACAATCTACCAGCTCAACTTTTAATGTGTGAACCATCAGGAAGTTTCAGGGGACGGAACTGTGAGGGCCAAAGACAGGCTGTCCCAAGATGGGCCACTTTGGTATGAAGACTATTTTGAGCTGAAAGCAGTCGAGACCCTCTAGGTCAAGAGGAAGTCCTTGCTCCTCCCTGAGCTGCATAGGAGAATCTAAATTGGAAATCTTTCCCAGAATAATGGTTATTACCACAGATACATTTATCTGCATGACCCATCTGTAGGGCAGGGCAGACATCTAAGTACCAAACACCTGCTCCTTTTCTCACTGCCCTGTCAACTGCATTTTTTCCCTTCAAAGTCCCAGACTCCTACCCCTTCTCCTCACCTCAGGATGGCATACAGACCTCATTTGGCCTGACTGTCTTTGGAATTTCCATGTCTGTGTGGATTCCCTGTATGTATGCTATTAAATTTGATTTTCTCCTATTGATCCATCCGTGTCAGTTTGATTCTTAGTCCAGCTGGAAGGACCTTTGCGAGGACAGGTATTCTTGCTCCCCGACATTACTCTAAGGTAAACATTCTCTCCCATTTCACCCTTCACAAAATCTCCAAGGAAATGTTCCAAACCCCAGGGCCCTGGGGCCTCAGAGAAGGGCCTGCTTCTCCTTGGGTCACACAGACGTTCCCATGACTGCAAGTTGTCTTGCAGAATTCCACAAACAAAGCCAATCTCACATAGTGCTGATAAAACAGGCATTTATCTAATGGCATTTTTCGAGCAGAGGTGAAGGGACACATGCTCACGGTGTCACAATCTTTGCAGAAATTGTTGCTGGAAGTCAGGCGGATACCACACGCGTTTCCTGGCATTGCTGGTGGCCATCCTGGCCCTCCTGCTCAGCTGTCCTCAGGGTGAAATGCCCTCCTCAGATTCAGAAGGGAGAACCCCTCCCCACTCTGCTGCCTTTCCCCCCAAAGTTGTGTTTGTTGCCCTTCCAGATCTCTGCTTGGTCTGTGGACCTCAATGCTTAGAGTCCTTCCACCCAAGCTGCCAGATGCTGGTTCAGAAGTCCATTTCCCTCCCCCACCCCCCCACCCTCAACACTCCCCACAGGCCACTGTTACCTTTCTCACTCCCCTCCTCATCTTCAAAAGCCAGCTGGGCCCACTTCACTATCATTGCTGAGACATCAGCTTAAGAAATGAAACCCCCGACCCTTCCTTTTCTTCTGAGCCAGCATTCCAGGCCAGTTGGGAGGGGAAAGGTCAGCCTTTAGTTGCCTTTCTCCTCTGGGACCTGAGATTTCATTCATTTCCCCTTCATTTCTGGAATGTTGCTTCCCCATCTGCTCTTGTGGTAGCACACAGGTTTTATCTGCTCTGCTTCCCAAGCTTTTATGGAAGTTGTCTCAGCCTTCTCTGGCTCTCCCACTCTCTGGGAATGTTTTATAAAGTTGCGGCTGTCACGTTTCTCCCAATTATTGAAGCACAAGGACACTAACCTGACATCCATTGAAGCCCCAACCCAGTGCTCTCCCGGTCACCACAAATGACCTCTGTTCCTCCTCTGGCTTTTCTTGAGCCTGGGAGAAAGGAAATTCCAACTTTCTTTGCTGTTAGCTACTTACATGCAACAGCCACACGGATCCTGCTTCATGAGATAATCCATATATTTTAAGAAAAAGGTAACTCCAAGGACACAGTTATCTTAGCTCTTAATTATTTCACTACTTACAATATTTTTTACCAAGATATTCAGCTTTTCAAGTAGAGTGCTCCTTCTCTGAAGAAACTGTTCAAAGTTTGCAGCACCCATGACTCCTTCCACAAGAGGGCAACAATTAAGGGTGGACGGCAGAACCTTTTTGGGGGGTGGTTGCTACTCTTCGTTACAAAATTTTTGTTTGTTCATTTTCATTGGAAAAAGGCTTTGCTGAAAGTAATTCGCCTTTCCAATAACACAGCTCTTCCTTATCTCTCTACACTGTGTTTAAAAGCACCTTGTCTAGGGGCGCCTGGGTGGCGCAGTCGGTTAAGCGTCCGACTTCAGCCAGGTCACGATCTCGCGGTCCGTGAGTTCAAGCCCCGCGTCAGGCTCTGGGCTGATGGCTCAGAGCCTGGAGCCTGTTTCCGATTCTGTGTCTCCCTCTCTCTCTGCCCCTCCCCCGTTCATGCTCTGTCCCTCTCTGTCCCAAAAATAAATAAACGTTGGAAAAAAAAAAAAAAGCACCTTGTCTAAACTCGTCTTAACTAGGCTGACCTCAAATCCTTGTTCATTTTATTTTTTTATTTTTATTTTTTGTAATGTTTATTTTTATTTTTAAAAGAGAGAGAGACAGAGCACCAGGCAGGGGCAGAGAGAGAGAGAGAGAGACACAGAATCTGAAGCAGGCTCCAGGCTCTGAGTGGTCAGCACAGAGCCCCATGTGGGGCTCGAACCCACAAACCAAAAGATCATGACCTGAGCCAAAGTCGGACGCTTAACCGACTGCGCCACCCAGGCGCCCCACCCTTGTTCATTTTAAAATGAGAATCAGATTTCCTGCAAAATCTCTGTCTAGTCAAAATCAAAAAAAATTGTTTTAAATTAGAATTTACATTCAGCAAGAAAAAGAGAAGCCCACACAGGGCTTTATGCCTCCAGACATGTCTTTACACCAAAGGCAAGGAAGGCATCAATGCATTCAAGGGTCCACCTTGGACAAAGAGTAGGGCAAATGGAAATGTGCATAAGAGAGTTACCATATACTACAAGAAGGAAGGGCCTGGGGCAAGTAAAACTGAATAGCAATTGTTCTTTAAATTTCAGAAAAGCTCCCCTGTAATCTGAGTTGGGTGCTATTTACAAAGCATTCTGAACAGGAGGGCCGACCAGCTGGTTCTAAGCCTGGCTATGGCGAAGGGAATATGTAGCCCCTCTTATCACGTGAGGCTAAGCCAACCTTTGCTCACCCCCAGAAAGCCAGTTTTCTCCTGCACCCCACAACACATGCTCCTCGGATCCCAACCACCCACTCACTCCCAAGCCCACAGCCTCCTTCTGATCACCAGCCTAATCAGTGATCCTTGAGGGGGTGGGGATCAGTGCGGCTCAGCCCAGGCTGTGAACTTCTAACCCTCGGAGCATTCTTATCCCATTGTGATAAAACCAATGGGGGCTCAACAGTTTAATTCTTCCACCAACACTGAATGGATACCAGGTCCTGGGGGAGGGAGGGAGAGGGAAGGAAGGCAGCGAGGCTGGGTTGTACAGAGGACCAAGTCCCTGCTCCCCAGGTCTAGTTGAGCAGCGATCTATTGGATATGAAACCAAAAATAACACCAGATCGAATGAAGTCAATGAAATAATAGTGCAAAGTGCTCAAGGGATCAAGAGGAGAAAACAATTCGTTCCATAATGGGGAAAGGAGCCAAAGGGAATGAGGCTTTCCACAGCAGAGAAAGGGAGGGGGCAATTTTGGCTGAGGGAACAGCCTTGAAATGTAGGCTGTATTTACAGACCCTTTTTAGCCTCCTGGCGAGGCTACAGGGGAAATTCAATAATTTGATGGGAATGAGCTGGACACCGAACTTTCACATCAAATCCCACCATGGAGGGCTTAGGGGGGCTAGTATCCTCCTTGTTTCATGGAAGTTAGGCATATAAAAGTAGTTTTTGAAAAGAACTTCAAAAGAAGATTTGTCTGGCTAGTGACTTCTTTGGAATTATAGAAGGGAATCACGGATAATAATAATAATATAGTAATAATAGCTACTGATATTTTATCAAACTGGAAGTGATTTAGGGCATATATAGTCTTTTAGAGCTGAAGGAACTTTGAAGACCAACTCATCCAACTCACTTATTTTACAGAGGAGGAAATTGACGCCCAGAGAAAATTTCTTGTCTCTGATCCACAGCTAGTAAGGGGTAAAGCAGGGTTGGGGCACAGGTATCTTCCTTCTTAAACCAGCTTACTCGCCACCAAAATGTGTCAATCTGCACCGCTCCCGGCTGTATTTCAGAGAAGAAAAATCAGTGATGGGAGTTTAAGAGGTTTGCATGAAGTCCCACAGCCCCCGGTGGCTCAGATGGAACCCAAACCTAGGACGTTGAGGACAATGAGTCAACGTGCTCCTATAAACATTCTTACTGAAATTAAACCCATTCACGAGGGACGAAGCACGAGAACGAAGAGTGAGCGTGGCGATTAGAGCCCAAGAATGCATGCTTCTCCAATCATGACCCGGGTAAGAAATGCAGGGGCTGTAAGGGGTTTGCTTTGCCTCAGCCGCCCGTGCGGCTTCTCCACACACACGCCAAGCTGCAGGGAGCTCTCTTTCTTCACTGAAGGCTTAGCTGCAATATGGTTTAAATTAGACATTTCTTGCCTGAGTAAAACAAATCACTTAGGTTATATGCTGACAAAAAAGGAACAGTCTGCATGCCTGGAAAGCTTAGGGGGAATTAAATTATGTGCTGTCACTTCAGAGTTGTTCCTGTCCTCTCCACCACCACCTCTCAATTGCCTGCAGGAGTCCTGGAACCTTGCGTGCAAGCTAAGCCATAACCCAAGGCTTAATATAAACTTGGGCTCTCAGGTCATTGGGAAATAACAGGTATATCCGGTTGGGTCTTTTGTGCTTGTCTGCACGCAAATTAAAAGTATTAAAAGTTCGTGCAAAGCAGAACTCCTCGGAGCCTCTGATTAGGGAGAAGGGAGGATGCCTTGGAAGAGAATTCTCATACAATCTTCCTGTTTATTTTTGCAGGGAATAGGAGATAGAGCTTGTTTATGAGAAGTTCACACCTCTGGGAGGCTGAGCTCAGAAGGGGCGGGCTGTGGAGGTGGCCTCGTGCCAGATGTCTGCTGGGGAGCAGGGCTCTGAAGGACTGCAAGGCAGAGCTTTGAAGGGGTTTAGTTTTCATAGACCTTCTGGAGGAGGGTTCGGGTGGGAGTGCCAATTCCCACACTTGTCCCGCTGGTGGCAACAATGGCAAGATGGCTTATGGGGGCGGGGGGCAGAGTTGGGTTGGAGGAGGGTCATTGGAGGGCCCTGAAAGCAAG